CCCTCTGTACCCCCTTCTCAGCCCCCCTGGAGCTGTGGCTCAGCACCCCACACAGTGCTGCACCCCTTTACAGTCTCCAGTAAGAGAAGGTGGGGGAGAGAGGGGGCGAGGACGAGGGAGGACAGCTCTCTGCTCCAGCCTATTTTGGATTGTGAACTCCAGGCCCCTAGGGGTGGGGAGAAGACACTGATACATGCGTTCACAGGGGCGCACACACATCCACACGTGCACTCATACACACCTGTGCGTGCACACGTGCACAGACATGCACACACCCCATCTCCCATGCAAGGAAGCCGTCCAGAGATTCCCCTCCAGTGTCAGGCCCAGGGAGCAAACCCCTTTCAGATCTGAGCCCCCAGGTCCCAGGTCTGAAGCACCCGCTTTGTCCTCCACAGAGCCCAGTCCTTGATCCAAAGCCTGACACAACACACACACACATACACACACACCAGCTGCCCAGCGCCCGCCTGGTGGCTCACACAGTCCAAGTCTTCCCAGGCGTTCAGCCTGAGAGGGGCGGGGCCTTGGGAAGCGCAGTCCAAAGCAGACCCAGTGTCCAGGATGCCCCGCCAAGCGGCCAAGAGGGCAGGTCAGCTGGGACCGGGAACTGGAATAGCAACTCCCAGGAATGTTCTTTAAAAAGCCAGGCAGGTGGCCTGGCGCATCCCATCGGCTGGGACTGTCCTGATGCAAAGGGAGGTGGCCTGTCTGCTACCCCCTGGACTGCCTGGGCCCCAGAGGGACCGAGCAGACCCACTGTACCGCCCTGGGCAGGGCCAGTGCCCCTGCTCTGCTCAGCCCAGGGCCTGCGCTGGTGGGAGACAAGGGAAGCGAGGGCTTCCATGCTGATGGGGGTCAAAAGCCAGGGTTAGAGTTCTACCTGAGTCCCCAGGGCCCTGGGCAAAGAGGAGCAGCAACGTTCGGAGACAGGCTGGCCAAGTGTAGTAGGCTCTTTGCTGTGGGCGCGTTAGGAAGGAAGTCCACGCTTCTCCCCACGGGAGGACAAAGGGCTGGGGGTATCGGCACCTGCAGGAAGGACTCTGGGGTCCTGGCAGCAGCCAGCCCACCTCCCCTCTCCTCCCTCCACCCCCCTCGCTGTGTGCCTGCAGCCACTGCCTTTTTTGCCTCTCTGCCCACATGACATTCATGTTTGCAGGTCCCCGACCCTGTGCTGTGTGTTTGACTTCGTACAGGAGTCCCCAGTTCACCCTGGGGAATTGTGTGAGCCCAGCCCCCTGAGGGACTCTACAGGGGACCATTGGGGTGAGGAAAATGGGTGGGGGGGAGCACACACAAGGCCAAGTTTCCTTTGCCTTCAGTGAATCAACCACCTTCCAGACTCTAGGCCCCCTTGAAAGGATGGAGTAGGCACTACCCACGGGGACCAGGGAGCCTCCCAGACCTCAGATTTCCTGGGCCGATGGTGCCAGTGCCCCTGCCCTATGACCCCACCAAAGCAGGTGCACACCAGGCCACTCCCACCTGGCACCTCCGACTTCACCTGGCCCTGCCCAAGGACAGTGGGAGGAACTGGTCTTGAACCAGGAGCCCCGGCTCGGCCCAGTTGGACTGCTGCTCCACATTGTGGCCTGGGCACCAGCATTCGACCCCAGACTGCCTTGACCAACCACAAAGATGCTCTGGTTCCCCAGGCCCCTTCCTGCCGGGTCCCAGGGCTCTTGGAAACCAGGCAACCTCCCCGTCCCCCCACCGCCCACACTGCCGAGATCCCCAGGAACCAGGGTTCCCCGGCCTGTCCCACCCGGCACACACTGCCCAGAGGCCTTCTGTTGCTGCCCGTGCCTCCCGGGCTGCGCTGCTAAAGGTGCCAGAGCCTCCTCACAGCACACTCTGGGCAGGGTCTCCCCCTTCCTGCCCAGACTGCACACCCGCAGATGCTCACTGGGCAGGGGGCTGGAGTTCACAAGGCGGGGGCCAGCTCAGCAGCTGGCTGAGCAGCTGCCTACTCCCCAAGTGCCAGGGGCACCCCAGGCCCACCCCCATGGAGACCCTGAGCACCACCCCGAGCACAGGTGCCCCCGGGACCACCTCCTTTCTGTTTCGATAAGAATAACCAAAAGTATTTAAACGTGTTACCGGTCTTTCTGCATATAGATTCAAAAAAAAATCAACACAAATCTTTATTTTTTTGATTTAAAAGATATAGCGAGAAGCTACGGGGAGGGTCGATCTGTAAGAGCAAAGGGATCTACGTCCTATAGCTTGTTAGCAGGTTTATTTTTTAAATGAAAAGTCAGAAAGGAATTCATTTGAAATCTATACCGCGAGAAGTCCCATGTCCTGTCAAGCTGTTGGTATTTTATAAATAAACTTTTTTTTTTTTTTTTGGAGTTCTGCGGCCACGTTCATTCTTCTCCGACTGGGGAGCTGAGTGGGGGCACCCCTCCCTGTCACACTGCTGCCCAAGGTAGGTGGTCCAAGCCACCATGCTCTGGGGGTTTGGGCGTTCTTGATCCTGAAGAGCTTTGGCCAGGTTCTGGGCAACTCCAGAGGCACAAGGTCAATGACCAAAGAGCTGCGCCGGGGGGTTGGGGTGGGGGGTCTGGAGGGATCTGGACGCATGATCACCAGGAAGAGACCATGGGGCACATGGTGCGTTCCAGAAGCCACCTGCCGTGAGCTGCGCTTACAGAGGCCTGCTTCCAACCCGATGGCAGGCCGGGAAAAGCTCTGGTTGGGCCCGAGTTCTCGAGAGAAGCAAAACCGGTGACCGCGCACGCACACGCACACACAGTCACACACCGCACATATAAAGAGAAAAAACTGTATCAAGAAAATTAAAAAGGAAGAAAATGGCCAGTCAGTCCAGCCCAGTTCCAGTCCGTGGGTCCGGCATTAAGCTGGAGACGTCTCCTTCTCCTGTGGCTGCAGAGGCTGGTGAGCAAACAGGAGGAGGAACCCGGAAGCATAAAGGCAAAGCATGTAGACCACCGGCTGGGGTGGGGTGGGGTCAGCAGGCCAGGCTTGTGGCTGCAGCCGCGAAGGAGTGCAAGGCTGGCAGCTCCGGTGCCAGGCCACAGAGGACTCCCAGGGCCAGCAGGCAATATGGCAGGCCGTTGGTTCAATTCCAGAGAAGCAGAAGTCGGCCAACCAGATGCAGGATCCAGGCCCAGCAGAAAGAAATGGAAGACGCTCTCTCTGCACAGCACCTACTCACCTCTCAAGCAGGCCGTACCCCACCTCAGGAAACATCCTTGGGAGTGTGACTTGAATCAAGGGTTAAACTCCCTTGATTCTCATCCTACAGCTGCTTGACTGCTCCCAGCAGAGCCCATCAGGCAGTTGAATAGATTGTATTCGATCACAGCACCAGCCCAGGGCAGGCCTCGACGGCCCAACTACTGAGAACCCTGGCCCAGCCAAGGTGACACAAAACTTGACTATCCCAGACACCTCCTCATGGTGGTCCACATTCAAGGCCCACCTCAGGTGTAGGAGACTGCAGAGCATCGGGGCACCAGCTGATGGGGTGGGGAGATGGGAGCGGGTCTCTGCACATCCCCTTCTGCAGGCAGCCCCTCCAACTGATCTGAACGGACCCTTTGGTTTGGCGTCTCGCCAGCAGCTCCGTGTGGGATTACAGAGTAGTGCTGATGAGTAGTGCCCCACATGCCCTGGCTGGCACCCATTATCCTGGTGTAACGGTGAGCCACGCTGCCATGTGCTTGGTCGACTAGCTGTCTGCCCCCCACCCTGCTCATGAGCAACACTGACAACCTGGGCAGCCTGTGGCCTCAAGCCCCTCGCACAGGGGACCCCAGGACAACTCTAGGAGGCTGTCTCCTAGAGTACAGGACTGGGAGGGTGGCAGGGAGGGACCAGGGAGGCCAGTTACATCCCACATGATCTCCTTCCGGGCCAGGACGGCATACCCAAAGTGATCATCACTGTCCGAGAGGATGCTGACCGGTGGCCACCCTACAGAACATAATAGAACTGCCCTGTAGGGTCTCCACGGCTGTCATCTTCACCAAGGACACTGAACACGGAAGACTAAAGCAGAATTGTTTCGAAGCGAGGCTTAAGGTGCGCCTGACCCACACTGTGGTGTTTTCCTTTGCCGCGGAGGCATGTGGAAGTCGGACAGGGACTAAGGGAGAGTGAAGAAGGAATGATGCATTTGAGCGGTGGTGCTGGAGAAGAACGTGGACTCCCCATGGACTGCTCAAAGGACAACGTGACCTGTCTCGGGGACATACAGCCTGCTGCTTCGAGGAAGCAAGGATGCGAGACTTTGCCTTACATCCTCTGGATGTGTCCAGAGACCAGACTGGAGAAGGACATCGCGCTGGGTGAAGTGGACGGGCAGCGACCAAGAGGAAAGGCCCTCAAGGAGATGGACGGACACAGAGGCTGGCACCATGGCTCCGGCATGGGGACCCTGGTGAGGACGGCGCAGCACCGGGTGGAGTTTGCTTCTGTTGTGTGTGGGGTCCGGCTCGTTGGCATCAACGACAAGAGAAGCAGACTCAATGCCTTTGAAGTGTGGCGTCGGTGAAGAAGAGGAGCTACCGTGGATTGCCCGTCTTGGTGGAGGTACAGCCAGGACGTCCCTTAGAAGTGACGGTGGAGGGACTTTGCTGGGTGTTCTTTGGACGTGTGGTCAGGAGAGACCATTCCCTGGAGGAGGACATCCTGCTTCGGAAAGTAGAAGGCTGGTGAAAAGAGGAGAGCCCGTGATGAGACGGATTGGCACAGTGGCTGCCACCATGGGCTCGAACATGAACACAACGGTGAGGACCGCGCAGGGCCAGGCGGTGCTTCCTTCGATGGTACACCGGGTCTCTGTGAGTCAGATCCGACTCCGTGGCGCTGAAAAAAGCACCTCTGCACGCACGCAGACTGCCACACCGAGTCGCCTCGATGGCAGCGCGTTTGGCGTTTGGGTTTAGTGGCCGCAAACCAGCTACCTTTGGGCTAGCAGCCGAGCCCTTAACCGCTGCACCACCAGGGCTCACGATTGAGCACAGTGACTTCCAATTCAGAGGGAGTCTCCCCTCTGGATGCCCTACCACGGGAGGACCTGCCCGGTCCCCAGCGCACTTGGGGAACACAAGCATGTCTATCAGGTGGGAGCTGCCCCACCTAGATTAACTCAGTCAGGATTAACTCACCCCCAGCTGGTTTGCCTGTTGATTTTTGAGCCCTTTCGGAGGGAGGGGCTCTTCTTGCTCGTAGCTTGCCCTGCCCCCTCCCCACTCCCACTCTCTGAGACTGGCTGACCGTGTGTGACTCTTGGCCGATTCTTGAGTGCCTTCAAGAATTCCGCTGGTGGGCAGCGTTAACCTAGCCGTACACCGGAAACCTGAGTTAAGGCTAGGGCTGCAGGCAACACCCAGGACCGTTACAAACCAGGTCTCACACAGGGCACACCCAAACGCAGCAGACCCCCTGTCATTGAGCCCACTGGACAGGGTAGACCTGCCCCGGTGGGATGCCGAGACCGCAGCTTTTGACGGGAGGAAAGTCTCCTCTTTCTCCCAGAGAGTGGCTCTGGTTTTCCCACTGCTGTCCTGCAGTTAGCCCCATGCCACTCACTACCAGGCTCCCTTGGAATTGGTAGCTGGCCACGCCCACTCTGGTCACCAGGACTGCTTACAGGGGACGTACTAAGATACGATCTGCTGCTTTTCTGAAACTCCTATTTAACCAGCATCTTCCGTGCTGACCACCCAGGTCTAAGCGCCATCTCTCATCAGCTGTGTGGGGGGTGGGGCAGCCCTCTCAGAAACTCGGCTTCCTGACCAGGAAAGGCTGGTTCTCACTCCGTCTGCCCCGCAGGGCCAGCTAGAGTTCCACGGTCCTCCCAGTCCTGCTGAGCCCATCCTGACGATGGAGAACTGACCCTCGGGCTTCCAGGGCTGACATCTTCAAGGAAGCTGACCGTCACAGGTGGCTCTTGCAGAGGAGTGGGAAGGTTTGAACCCCTGACCTTTGGGTGAGCTGCGCAGACAGGGCTCCTTGGGTGCACACCAGGAGGGAGATTAGGCGTGGACATGACTCACAAGCCGCACGGTGCTCGGCACCAGCGAGGGCTGATTGCTGTTGTCCCCGGATAAAAGCACGCTTTATGCAAGGGCTCACCCCGGAGCTTCAGGCTGTGGGCTCAATGCCACCTCACTCCTTCTCCCCTCCGCTCTGCTCCCACGCCTGCAACCCCTGCTGGGTCCTCCCAGCCTGTTCCTAGACCTGAAACGATGTGTGGGTCTCTTCAGGAGGGCAGTCCAGGGGGGGACGCAAACAGGTCAGTGTGAGGCCACTGACAGAAAGGTCGGAGGGTCCACAAGGAGACATGTTGGAAGAAGGACCTGGTGACCTGCTTCTGAAAGATCCCAATGGTCAAACCCCATGGGGTGCAGTTCCCCCATCTCATGGGCTCACCCAGAGTCAGTATCACACCAAGATAGTGCATTTGGGATGTTTGGGGTTCCAGAGGAAGAACTCAAGTGGCTCTTCTTAGTGTGCTGGTCACGGTCGTAGTTTGAACCAGTAAATCCAAATAAGGGCCACCTGAGATGGCTTGGAGGAGCCCTGGTGGTGTAGTGATGACACACTGGGATTACACACTGACCCACAAAGTCAGCAGTTCAAAGCCACTCACCGCTTCACGGGAGAAAGATGAGGCTTTCTACTCCCGTAAAGAGTTAACCGTCTCAGAAAACCCACAGGAGCAATTCTACCCTGACCTACAGGCTCGCTACCTCTGAGATAACTTGATGGAAGTGAGTCTGGTTTGGGGTTTAAGAGGTGGCTCTGTCTGGTAAGCATTGGACTGCTGACTGCAAGGTTGGTGGTTCAAACCCAGGAGCCACTCCGCAAGAAAGCGAAGAGGCTGCCTGCCCTTGTGCAGACTGATGGTCGCAGCTGACACAGGGTCACTGTCGGTGGGCGGGACTTGATGGTGGTGGCCAGAGAGAGGCTCATGCACAGACTCCAGGGTCTGGGCTCAGTGTGCAGGAAGGTTAGGGGCCCTGTGTGGCGAGGGACAAGTGTAGGGCCTGGGCGGGTGCAGTGAGTGCCATCACCACCCAGTCAGAGTGTAGTGGAGGCGGCGGCAGCCCGTGGGAGCTGCAGATCCCAGGGGCCGCCAGGTAGAGATGGGTAGGGATGGCTGGGAGAGGCAGGAGGAGTCCCGGGCTTTAGGCTGCCCGTGCCCAGAGTAGGGTCCCCTCTTCAGGCAAGGGAGGGGACGCCTCTCCTTTTACATGCTGCTCCAGTTCCAGAGAGATACAGCAAGAGGCGTCCTGGGAGGGAGCGCTCCCTGGGATAGACAGTCTGCCCTGAGTGTGCAATTTAAAAGGCCTTTGACCTGTTGCATCCCACCAACACCCCTAGTTGGCATAGTGGGTTACATATTGGGCTGCTAACCACAAGGTCAGCAGTTCAAAACCACCAGCCACTCCCAGGGAGAAAGACAAGGTTTATCCACCCCTGCCCAAAGATACAGTCTCAGAAGCTTCCAGGGGCAGTTCTACCCTGTCCTATAAGGTCATAATGAGTTGACGTCAACTCCACGGCCGTGGTTTTGGAATGACCTGTTGCTGGCAGCCACACTCCTGGCCATAGAGTTGATGCCGACTCAACATGACCCTATAGGCTGGGGTAGAGGTGCCCCCTTGGGTTTCTGAGATGGTCACTCTTGACAGGAGAATGTCTCATCCATCTTTCTCCCAACCCCCTGAGCCCCCAGCTCAATCAGGCAGACATAGACTCCCAGGACCCTGCATGCCCCACAGTGGTGTGCTCGAAGACTGACTGTCGGAAGCAAATTGCCCGAAGTTTTTCCAGCACCCCTGGGAGAACTCCGGTCTCTAGACCTCTGGAGAATGTGTCAGCCATGTGTGCCACCAAAGTTTTAGTTTGTCTTGCTGATCAGTCAACGCTGACTCATAGTCACACACACACACACACACACACACATACACACACACACACACACACCAATGACAGAGAGGGAGTGCCCCATTGCGGTTTCCAAGGCAAATTTTTTTTCATCATTTTATTGGGGGCTCATACAACTCTTATCACAATCCATATGGGTCACCATCCATTGTGTCAAGCACATTTGAACACTCGTTGCCATCATCATTCTCAAAACACTTGCTCATCATTAAGCCCTTGGCATCAGCTCCTCATTTTACCCCTCTCTCTTCCCTGCCCCTCCCTCATGAACCCTTGATAATTTATAAATTATTAGAATTTTTGTCGTGTCTTACACTGTCTGACGTCTCCCCACCCACTTTTCTGGTGTCTGTCCCCCAGACAGGAGGTTGTATGTAGATCCTTATGATTGGTTCCCCCTTTCCACCTCACCCTCCCTCCACCCTCCCAGTATCAGCCACTCTCAGCACTGGTCCTGAAGGGATCATCTGTCCTGGATTCCCTGTGTTTCTAGTTCCTATCTGTACCAGTGGACATCCTCTGGTCTAGCTGGATTTGTAAGTTAGAACTGGGATCATGATAGGGGGGGTGGAGAAGCATTTAAGAATTAGAGGAAAGTTGTATGTTTCATCGGTGCTATACTGCATCCTGACGGACTCATCTCCTCCCTGAGACCCTTCTGTAAGGGGGTGTCCCATTACCTACAGATGGGCTTTGGGTCCCCACTCCGCACTCCCCCTCATTCACAATGATATGGTTTTTTGTTCTTTGATGCCTGATACCTGGTCCCTTCAACACCTATTTAACCAGCATCCTCCGTGCTGACCACCCAGGTCTAAGCGCCATCTCTCATCAGCCCCCCCACACACACACTCCCACTCCATGTTGCTTCTGAGCTAGATGGCTGCTTGTTTACCTTCAAGCCTTTAAGACCCTAGACGCTATATCTTTTGATAGCCAGGCCCCATCAGCTTTCTTCACCACACTTGCTTATGCACCTGCTTTGTCTTCAGCGATTGTGTCAGGAAGGTGAGCATCATGGAATGCCAATTTAATAGAACAAAGTATTCTTGCATTGAGGGAGTACTTGAGTGGAGGCCCAATGTTCATCTGCTGTCTAAAGCAGATATTAAAGAAAGCCGATTGCCACACCCTTCTCTCTCAGGGGTGGGAGCTTAACCAGCGTGCCATCGGGGCTCCTACCACCCAGCTGACATTTGCTGAGCGCCCATAGCCCTCCATTACCAAGTTGGGATGGAGGCCCGCTCACGGCACCCCCACTTAACAGACAAGACAGAGAGACCCGGCAGGCAAGTCCTGGACTGGGGATTCGAACCCAGCCCTCCCCTCAGTGCGTCCTCACTCTTGGCCTCCACCCAGCCCATGCTCAGGGCATCGTCCGCATTGCCCTTCCAGAGAAGCTGCCCAAGCGCAACATTGTTTCAAAAAGACAAAGTCACCATGATGTTTCCATCAAGCCTGCTCCCCAACCCCCATAGGAGATGGTGTGGCTGTGAGCCATGAGGGCCACGTGGCTTCCATCAACAGCTAGAAGCAGCTTTGGACGCCATGGGAACAACATGTGATGTTGGGGGGTGCAATCAGACCTTTTCATCT